GAGATTGCTGTGAGCTAGGCTGACGCCATGGCACTCAACTCTAGTCTGGGCAACAAAGTGAAACTCTGTCTCAGAAAAAAAACAAAAAACCTCTTACATGAGATGTTCAACCCTTTATTATAAAATGGGCTTTGTGTTAGATGATTTTGTCCAACTGTATGCTAATAAAAGGGTTTTGAGCACTTTTTTTTTTAGACAGAGTCTCTGTTTCCCGGGATATAGTGCCGTGGTGTCAGCCTCGCTCACAGCAACCTCAAACTCCTGGGCTCAAGCAATCCTTCTGCCTCAGCCTCCTGAGTTGCTGGGACTACAGGCATGTGCCACCATGCCTGGCTAATTTTTTCTATGTATATTTTTAGTTGGCCAATTAATTTCTTTCTATTTTTAGTAGAGATGGGGTCTCGCTCTTGCTCAGGTTGGTTTCGAACTCCTGACCTCAAGCGATCCACCCGCCTTGGCCTCCCAAGTGCTAGGATTACAGGCGTGAGCCACCGCACCCAGCCAGGTTTTGAGCATGTTTAAGGTAAGCTAGCCCAAGCTATGATGTTTGTCAGGTTAGGTGTATTAAATGCATTTTCAACTTAAGATGTTTCCAATATATGATGAATTATTCAGGACGTAACTCCATCATAAACTGAGGAACATTTGTAGTCTGAATGTTACGGATGCCCACCTGTTGTTCAAAGCCATAACTTGATTCTTACAATGTCAGTGAGATACTTAAGGTCACTAAAAGAGAAAATGTTTTAATACATTTTGTTAAATAAATACAGTAGACAAAACAGTATTACCAGACTCTGTTCATTTTTCTACCTCAGAAAGGTCCTGATCTCCATAGCAGGCTTTGCTTCCTTGGTGTTTGGGGTAGCAGCAAAGAAGGATTTCTGAGTCAAAATTCCTGAACAAAAAGGGTCCACGCATGGATTAGTTGGTTAGACTCATTTTCCTCAACATAGAAATATGATGTACAGGAGTGGGCTTAATGGCCCTTTGTCTGTTCATGCAGTTGATTCCATAGGAAAGAAAAAAATTATTATTTGGTTTTGCCAGGTGGTGCAGGCCTCAGTTAAAATTTTTCCTCATATTCTTTATCATAGATTGTATAATCGTTATAAATACTACTCTTCTGTGGGCTAATTATACTTCCCGCCTCATTGATGCCTGGTCATATGACTTGATTTGGCCAATGAATGCAAGCAGAAGTGGTATGCCTTTTGGGTAGAAATGTTTAGAGCCAGCACCTGGTTTGCCTGTTTTCTCTTCCCTCTACTGTTATGACTGCTCCATCAGCCTGGATCCTAAAGTGAAAAAGATGTAGAATATAGCGCCTAGTCAGCTTGTGATTAACTGTAGAGAGCACAAGAAGTGTGTCTTTGTTTTTAACCAGATTTTAGGGTTGTTTGTTACCACAGCATAACCAAACTTGTCCTGACTGATATACACCCCTAAAACAAGAAAGCAGTATTGTCTTGCTTTATTAGAAAAACTTAAATACTTCTTGGAATATAATTTAAAATTTTTTTAATTGAACAGATTTTATGCCTAATTCATTTATTGAAATTTGTAGTGAATAAATACCTAGTCTTAATGGATTTTCAGTTGTAAATTTTGCCGAATTGGGATTAAGAGAGTTCCAAATATTTGCCCAGAGTATGTTTTAACTTGGCAGTTTTTTCAATTTGATATTTCAACTAGATTATTTGTTATTTAGTGGCAAGAAGTTATAAATTGTGCTTAAGAAACTTTTTTTCTTTTCCAGCTTCTAGGACATTTAATGATTGTTGGCAAGAAATGTGCTGCTGATCTGGGACTGAAGAAGGGTTATCGAATGGTGGTGAATGAAGGTTCAGATGGAGGACAGTCTGTCTATCATGTTCATCTGCATGTTCTTGGAGGTCGGCAGATGAATTGGCCTCCTGGTTAAGCATATTTTGGGGATAATTTTCCCTTCTCTAGGCAGTGACCAAGTCTGCAAGTTCCAATATGTTAAATAACACATTTTTGCTTGTGTATGGAGAGATTGAGGAAGTAATTTTAAAAATCCATACATAATAAAAGACTTTGTTGCATGGTTTAGTCTCTCTGAATTCTGCATTTGATTTATTATTTTAAAAATATGTTTGTTGGAATGTGTGAAGGTGGGTTCATAATTTTGGAGGTTTCTTATTTTTTCTTCCCAAGGAGGACCCAGCATATGAACATTGCATTGTTATAATATTGGGACTAGTCTTTGAAGACATGTTATGAGAGTTCATAAATTTAACTTAAACTTTGAAATAACTCTTTCAGCCTAAAATATTAGTCCAGATGAGATTTTATTAATCCTCTCATTTTTTTAAGGACATAGGAGTATTGCTGTAATTGATCCAGAAAGTGAGTTTTGGGCCTAGAAAGAAAGGTTTATGTTCAGCCCATATGTTTCTCCTGTGCTTTTTGGATAATTTAGAAAGAATGAAAGTAGGTTTGTTACACAGTCTTTGATGACCATATGAAGCCATACATTGATATTTCCTTGCTATCTAAACTCCATCTTAATATTCAAAGACTTGAAAATGTTTTACCTAGAATTTTCCATTGCAAACTCAGTTTTAAATATGTATGTACACATGAGCAACAATAAGTTTTGCACAAATCTGGCTATGTGGAGTTGGGGAGAGAACCTCAGGGTCTGAGTTCTTGTGTAGACTGACAACCAAACTTGTTTTTAGTCTCACCGTATACCCTAGCCTTTCTAAGGTTCTACAAGGAAAATAGCTTTGTTTGTTGGCTTTCCTTTATGTAGGTAATCTCCAGCTTCCAAAATTTGATACTTTTTCCTTTTTTTGTCTCCTCTCCCATTCTTTTTGTGCTTATGGATTTCTTCCATTTTTAATCTCTAAAAAAAGACTATTTTAGTGGGGTTTTGACAGCTGAAAATTGATTTTCTTTAAAATTTCTTTTGTTCTTGGTGATTTTTAAATAGTTTTTTGGGGGGAGTAGAGAAATTGGCTATTTATATGTAACAAATAATTTTTTCCTAATTTATCATTTGCTCCTTTGTTTATGGTCTTTAAAATATTTATATAGTTAATTCATCATTTTTTTTATTTCGTAAAGTCCTTCCCATTCCAGGAGGATTTTATTTTGTTTATTTATTTTTTTTGAGACAGAGTCTCACTTTGTTGCCCAGGCTAGAGTGAGTGCCATGGCATCAGCCTAGCTCACAGCAACCTCAAACTCCTGGGCTCAGGCAATCCTGCTGCCTCAGCCTCCCGAGTAGTGGGACTACCAGGCATTGCACCACCATGCCAGCTAATTTGTTTGTATATATATTTTTAGTCGGTCAATTAATTTCTTTATAGTAGAGACGGGTTTCACTCTTGCTCAGGTTGGTTTTGAACTCCTGAGCTCAAACAATCTGCCTGCCTAGGCCTCCCAGAGAGCTAGGATTACAGGTGTGAGCCATCCAGGAGGATTTTTAAAAATCATTCTTCTTTACCTAGTATTTTTATTTAATATTGGGGGACCGTCTAGGGAGGAGTTTTGGTGGGATTTGTGCTACAGTAAAGAGTGAAATATCTAAGGATACCCTAATCATGAAAAAAAAAAAAAGTGAAATAATGAGAAGTCTTTGTATATTATGTGTAAGAAGGTTGACCCTGCTTTATTCAGGCATATTGTCTTTCCCAGTGATTTAGTCAAGCCAGTGTTAATATTTAATAAATCAGGTGCACAACCACTGAATTACCTTGCTGGTTCTGTCCGTGACCCCTCTGCCTTAAGCCATTTTGTGGCGGATTTTCTCTCTCTCTCTCTCTCTCTCTCTCTCTCTCTCTCTCTCTCTCTCTCTCTCTCTCTCTCTCTCTCTCTCCAGGGTCTCACTCAGTTGCCTGGGCTAGAGTGCAGTGGTGTCATCATAGCTCACTACAACCTTAAATTCTTGGGCTCAAGCGATCCTTCCACCTTGTCTTCCTAAGTAGCTGGGATTACAAGCATGTTCCATAGCTCCTGGCAAATTATAGCTTTTAAAATTGTTGAGTTGTTAGATTTCTTTATATATTCTAGATACTAGACAGCCATCTATGAACCAGGAAACGGGCCTGATTTAACATCACCAGATGTTAAATCTGCTGGTGCCTTGATGGGTAAACTTCCTAGAATCCAGAACTGTGAGAAATTGCTGTTTATAAGCCACCCAGTCCTATGTTATAGCAACACGAATAGCCGAAGATACTCAGTTTGGAGGAAGCCAGCTGCCATTGCCGAGGATTTTCAGGCAGCCTAATGGAAGGGCCTGTATTCAGAGGAACTGAGCCCTGCCAACAGCCAGCAACGTGTCAGCTATGTGAATAAACCATCTTGGGACCAGATCCCCCAGCTTTCGAGTCTTCAGATGTAGTCCTGATCAATATCTGACTGCAACCTCATGACAGACCCCAGGGCAGAACAACCTGGCTAATCTCCCAAATTCCTGACCCTTAGAAATTGAGAGAAAATATTAGCTTAAGCCATTAAGTTTTGGGGTAATTTGTTACATAGCAGGGAAACCAAAACACTCTGTTGTCTTTATTTTTTAGCTTACAGCTAAACTGCATTTCCCTGTATCTCTTCAGCTGTGTATGGCCATGTACCTGTAATCTTGTTAATGAGGTGTGTGAGGAACTTATATATGGCATTTCCAAGTCCCTGAAAAATCTCCCATGCTCTCCCTTGTGCCTTTTCCTTTGTTTTGTTTTTTTTTTTTTTTTTTTGTAAGTACATAAAATTCCCATTTTTTTGTATGGTCTTATATCACATTAGTGCAAATGCATTTGTCTACAACCATTTCAACATAGCTCCTTTGGAATTATTTCAGTCATCTGTCATCTGTGACTTCACCAAATACCTTGACGCTATACAAACAAAATTTCAGATGACTAACTTTCAGATGAAAGGATAAGAAACAGTCATCAGATGATGACTGGGGGGGGGGGTGTTAATCTCCAACAAGACACTTTGTCGAAATGTTTCTTCTGGTACAGCAGTTATAAGTCAGAACCTTCAAAAAAAAACAAGGGCAGAACAAGAGTATAATAAGAGAAGCTTGTGCAGCGTAAGCCTCCCGTAGTCCTAAGCCTCACATAAGCAAGGCAAAGCATCTTTCCTGCAAACTAAATGGGTCTCCAGTATTTCCACCTAGCTGAGCTTTCAGAGATAGATGTCCAAGACATATGAATATATATATATATATATATATACCATCTTGGCTCTGGTTGCATTAATTATGCCTGAAGAGTTTAATACTCATCAAAGTCCAAAGGTGGAAGAACACATACACTGGTATGGTAATCGGCAAGAGCAGACTGTAGAAACAAAGGCTGCTTGTGCTAGTGCAGCCCTGTGGGAAGTTTTCTTCCACAGAGGCTGAGTAAAACAGTCTTGCTAAAGAGACCAGTGGAATAAGAACAGTCAACGTAGGAAGAGAGTGAAACATTTTTCTCTTCCACTTATTACCTGCCACCCTACTTTAAAAGGTATACAGTATTAAGAAAATTTAGTTGTTGTTTTTTTTTTTTTGACTTACTGACATTAATATTAGTCCCATGAGAAAAAAGCAGTTTAGAGTTGGCTGCCAGAAAAACATTTCTACTTGTCTATATCCACAGAGGGACTGTCATACCAGCTACTTAAAGAAGCCAAGTCTCCCTCTCTTCCAAAACCCACATGGGGCCCTGTTTTATTATTATGGTTCTTAGCACATCGTAACCCACATTGTAATTGTTTATATACATGTCCCAAGTTCAAATCATTCATCTTTATCACACCCAGCACTTAGCCCATTGTATCTGGGTAGGAAGCACTCAAATTGGTAAAAGAGAAATCTACTCAAATGAATGTTCTTCCAGTAATATCTGCCTCCAACCCCGCCAAAAACAAACTTGTGACTAGAAGCAGCACAGACCACTGCCACAGTCATGCTAACATGACTAAAATGCCCTTATAATTGGCTTGGTCACAGTCTCCAGCAGATGCCAAGGCTTTTGCTAGTTAAGCCAGTTTTCATTGGACCATTTTGTGTTCTATGTATTTTTTGACCAAAAAATAAAGATAGGTTTTCTAACAATAGGGATAGAAATACATGAAATGGGAATACTTCTTTAAAATGTCAGTGAGGAAAGTAGGAAATCAGTAAACCAAAACATCTGACTATAGGTCTTCTCAGATAAAGGAAAAAGGACTAACAAACAAGAATATAGTGCTTTACCAGTTACATATCTTTCACATACATTCTCCTTTGACCCTCACAACAACCCTGTGAGGTAGGCAGCACAGATATTCTTCTCATTTAACAGATGAGGAAGGCGAATCTCAGAGCAGTTAACTGATATGCCCAAGGCTGTACAGTTACTGAATAATCTGTATTATCATCAGTCTTTGGCCTAAAAATTCAGCACCCAACATCCCTTCATATTTGCCCTACCTACTTCACAGGGATAATGAAGATAAAATGAATTCAAGGCTAGAAAATATACTTTGAGGGAAAAAAGCACTATATATTATAATTATACCCACAATCTATAATTTTCCACAATATATGGCTCATTCCCCTTCTCATCCCAGCTTGTGCATGAACCCAGAATTTTATATTGCCTCAAGTCTATGCTCAACTAAGCAACTAAGTAAGGCAGGGGAACAGTATTTTAGTGTTTATGTAAATTACAATCAGGGTACTGCTGTTATTAAGCAAATAGAAAATCAGCACAGAAAGGCCAGTGTGCAACTAGGACTCACTAAGCACAGAGCAAAGCAAGGCAAGATTATCAGGGCATGATTGCATAGAAGGAAAATGTGGTGTCACAGTCTAAACTGGCACACACACAGTTGTCTAAGGCAAAGTGGTGGCAAAGAAGAATTACTTGTTCTGCATTTTATAAACAAAAGCAGAGGATTTATGGGAACCCGTGCAAAAGCATCTTATGTCACACAGATCTCTCCAGCTGTCTACAGGGAATACAAACAACAGTGTCAAAAGAATAACTGTACCTGTGTTCATATCCTGAACTCCACCAAGGAAGAGCTCCATGGTAAACTTCCTTGGCTGAAATATGACCAGTACCATCATTCCTAATCAGACTATTAACCAGAATGTCTTTTAAGGTAACGAATTAGATGGCTGTGTTTTCTTCAGGATTTACTTTGGATTCTCCTGCTTTAAGACCCAAAGAAAGTTATATTGAGTTTTTATTGGTGATTCTAAGTATATGTGTTTATAACAATTAGAGTGTGATAGGTGAAATTTAACATATCAAAAGCGTTCTATAGCATCTTTTCAGAAAAGATTGTATACTATACAAACTATTCAAGTCATACAAAACCATTTTTCAGTGTCTTTTCAACTGAGAAGAATCCTATTCAGCACGCTTCTCCTCCTGAGGTGGTTCATACTGAGCAAGCTTTGTTTTCAGTTTTTTATTTTCTTCTACAATAGCTTCATATTTTTCTTCCATTTCTGCCAATTCTAGACGAAGCAGCTCTATTTCTGGATTTTCTGGGGTAGCAGCTCCTAAGTGATGCTTTAAAAAATCCAAAGCACTATTAGGTTTCTCTGGTTCTTCATATAAGGCTACCAACACCTTGGTCAGCGTGTCCAGCACGCCCGACTTCTCCAAGTACCTCCGGAACTGCTCACGCTTCCAGTCGGCGGCTTTGTAATGGGCCATAGTGACGGCGCGCCGGAGTCGGTGACTGGCGGGCTCCGTGTTTTTCTTTTTTAAATTATGAGCTAGTGCTGCTCCATTTATTCTTGCTTCTTACTTTGATGTGTCATGCTAGCTGCCTGTGGTATCATATTAGGAATCCCATCAATGATTGGATAGGCTATTCCCAGCTCTCCATTAATCAGTTCATTTGTTGATGCTTCATATCTGAGCGGCTTCTTGGACAGCGGGCACACCGGGAACCCCAGCAGCGCCGGGTCGAAGGCGCGGGGCGGCGCCTCGGCCTTCCCGCTCCGGTCTGCCGAGGGCCGCGGCCCCGACGCGTGCAGCCCCCACGCGTGCAGCCCCCGACGCGTGCAGCCCCCACGCGTGCAGCCCCCGACGCGTGCAGCCCCCACGCGTGCAGCCCCCACGCGTGCAGCCCCGACGCGTGCAGCCCCGGACGCGTGCAGACCCCACGCGTGCAGCCCCGACGCGTGCAGGCCCGACGCGTGCAGGCCGCAGCGCCTGGCGCCGACCCCTCCGCCGGCCGGGCCGGCTTCCAGCTCCCGGCTCCCCGCGCGCCTCCTTTGTTTTCAAGATGCAGAAAGGATCCAGCAGAGGAGAATGAGCTTGGGTCCCTGAACGACTGATTGGAGAAGTGTTATTCATACACCTGACCCACATTGGATTTTGTTTGTTAAGCCGTGAGATTTTAGGGTTTAGGTAATAATAGTTAAGAGTATTCATTGTAATTAACACAAGACCTATGATTCAGGAAGGATGGACCTTACTCCTATATATGGTGGCTTGGGATTTTAACAATCATAGCAGCCTATTTGATCATTGTTCTGCTTTTAGCTGGGAGGTTGAGACTGCCATGGTTAAAATGGGTTGGAACTTGGAGATGATTGAGCTTGTGAGTAGAGCATAAGCCAGTTTTTGTGGGCACTGTAGTACCACAGCTTGATTGAACTGATCTGAGGGAAGGCTAAATGGGAAGTGACTCCTATCTTTAATATTAAGTGTTACGTTTTAGCACTGAAGTGGTAGGTTCAGGCCATTCAAGGGACTTAGTTTACCATTGAAATAATTTGCTTGAGTAAGCCACTGAGAAAATCAAAGTGATCTTTAATCTATTTTTTTTTAATTTATTATTTTTTTTTTTGAGACAGAGTCTCACTTTGTTGCCCAGGCTAGAGTGAGTGCCGTGGCATCAGCCTAGCTCACAGCAACCTCAAACTCCTGGGCTCAAGCGATCCTACTGCCTCAGCCTCCCGAGTATGTGCCACCATGCCCGGCTAATTTTTTCTATATATATTAATTAGCCAATTAATTTCTTTCTATTTATGGTAGAGACGGGGTCTTGCTCTTGCTCAGGCTGGTTTCGAACTCCTGACCTCTAGCAATCCGCCCGCCTCGGCCTCCCAGAGTGCTAGGATTACAGGCGTGAGCCACTGCGCCCGGCCATTATGTTCTTTTTAAAAGGAGCTTTTACAGATGTCCCTCAAGACCTCCTACTTATACATCATTGGCCACACTAAGGTCTAAGACAAGCTAGGTACCCTGCCCGAAATAAAACTAGAGAGGAATATAGGTGTAGTAGCTGTTGAGAGACAGGCCACAGTCTCTGCCCTGTCTCTGATAGCCAGTGTTCATGACTGTGGAAGAGTAGCCAGGCATTCTTGGACTTTGCACAAGTGCTGAAAATACTGCTTCAAGTATCTATAATTTTGCTATATTCACTCTTATCTCCAATACTGAGTCATGACCAGGAGGCATTTTGTTGACCAACTATTTTCTGTGAATAGTAGTAGTGGGTGCAACTTTAATTCCAACTAGAACTCTGCTGTGCTCATTTTTGGTGCTTTATCATACTGATTACAGTTTTCTGCTATTTATGTTATAGCTTAGAAAATAGTAAATTTTCAAAAGTCCTTTTTTTATGGTGTGGAATTTAGTTATGGAGTACAGAAGGTGGTCAGACCTTTCTCTTTTCAGAGTCACAGAGTAAAAAACACTCCCAAACTTTTTAGACCTTTTTTTTTTTTCCAAGTATGTACTGCAAGTATGACAAGAGCTGATTCAAACTGCATATCTTTCAGTCTTTTCACTCCACTATAAAGCAAACTATATGTGAGCACTGGCTGATGATAGTAATTGCTCCTTGAATTGCTTCCTATGGTATACAGGATCATTTAATAAAGAGGTTTTTGCTTATAACAGCTCATTAAGTTTTCTCTGTGTGTATTTATTATAGTTATAGCTAATTCTGTAAGCTTTTCAGAAATAGTGACTTGTATTATATGCATTTGCTTATTTAGAGTAAAAATTTTGATGTTTCTGTAGCTGACTGTTCTTATTTTAGACCAAAGGTTAGTTTGCACTTATCCTGAAAAATATGTGGTTGGTTTAACATGGATTTATTTTACTTTGAAAATCACCTGAAAGCTTGGGTGGATTCATGTTACTTTTTTTTTTTTTTTTTGAGACAGAATCTCACTCTGTTGCCCAGGCTAGAGTGCCGTGGTGTCAGCCTAGCTCACAGCAACCTCAAACTCCTGGGTTCAAGCGATCCTTCTGAAGCCTCAGCTTCCCAAGTAGCTGGGACTACAGGCATGTGCTACCATGCCCAGCTAGTTTTTTTTCCATATATATTTTTAGTTGGCCAATTAATTTCTATTTTTAGTAGAGATGGGGGGGTCTCGCTCTTGCTCAGGCTGGTTTCGAACTCCTGACCTTGAGCTATCCTCCTGCCTCAGCCTCCCAGAGTGCTAGGATCACAGGTGTGAGCCACTACTCCTGGCCCATGTTACTTTTTTAAAAGCCAGGACTTTTGAGGTACAAATACAATAAAGTTT